TCGCTTAACTATAGTGGCACTAGTAGATTTAGTTGAATGTAGCGCAATCTTAATCGATATTTCATTATCACATATAGTGAATTGGGATTTAGTTTAGATCAATCGTTTTCATTTTTTAATCATTTTTTATTTATTTTTTAATCATTTCTGTTTATGTTTTTATAATTTTTATTTATGTTTTTAAGTATTTTATAAATTATTTTAATTTATTTTTATCTATTTGTTTATTTATTTTATATATTGTTTAAATTATTTTTGTTTACGTTTTTTAATCAACTTTATTTCTTTATTATTTAAATATTTATTTTATTATCATTTTATTTATTTTTTAATATATTTATTAAAATTTTTAATTATATTTAAATATTTATTTTATTATCATTTTATTTATTTTTTAATACAATTATTAAAATTTTTAATTATATTTAAATATTAATAAAATAAATAAAAATAAAATAAAATAAATAAAACGATAATAAATTATTTATTTTTTAATATATTTATTGAAGTTTTTAATTTTTTTTATATTTATTTCATTATCATTTTAATTTATTTTTTACTAATTTTTTTTATATGTTTTATTATTATTATTTACTTTATAATTATATTTTATCAATTTTCAATTTATCTATCTATATTTTTTACATTTTTTACTTACTTTTTATAATTTTTATTTTTTTTTTATAATTTTTATTTTTTTATAATTTTTTATTAATTTTTTTATAATATGTATTTATTATATTGATTTATTATCAATGAAAAATAATACAATTAATGCAATTATTATTTTAGAAGAGAAAAAAGCACTAGCTGCCAATGCTAGGCTTACGATTTGTTGACTTTTTGGCTATTTTTGTAATGATGTTAATTTTTTTATTACCTTTTATTAAGTTTTTAGTAAATTTTTTCTTAATTACTTATATATTTAATTTAATTTTAATTTTTTTATGTATTTTTTAGTAATTTCTATTTAAGCTTTTAATAATTTTGACTTCTCTTTTATTAATAATTTTTTTATTTTTTTTATAAATGTTATTTTTTTTAATTATTATTATTTTTTATTTTTATCTACTCTTTCAATTATTTTAATTTTTTTTATATATTTATTTTATTAGTATTTTTGAGTATTTTTCTAATCGTTTTTATTTACTTTTCTAATTATTTTTATTTATTGTTAATTCTCTTGTTTCTTATTTTACTTGTTTTTAGTGATAAATATTTTAATTATATTTTATAATATTCTTTAAGTTGTTTTTATTTATTTAATAATATTTATTTATATTTTAATTAATTTTACTTATTTATTTCGTTTCGAAATTTTTGTATCATCTCTATTTTAATTCACATATTTTAACATAAATAAATAAAAACATTCAAACAGGTTTGGGAGGGGGAGGGCGTTGTTTTTCAATAAAATGTTCCAACAGTTGGCAACCCTCCTAAAAAATTTCTCCACCATTTAGCATTGTAAATTTTGTGTAAAGGTGTGCAACCTTTCCAATGAAAAGAGTAAGAGCTTCCAAGACCGGCCACAATTTGCAGTCGGAGCCAACTTTTGAGATCGTACCGAATCAATTTGTATCCCCGAAGTTTTCCTTCGTCCAAGCTCTGGTTTATGGTTTTAACAAAAACACGATTTCTCTGTTTTTCACTTCGCCCTCGTCCCTCGGAAGGCACGACTTACTCAGCTTAAAATTGAAAAAAAAAGTAAATAAATAAATTATTATAAAATCCTTTGAGGGTTATCAATTACTCTTCCACTGTAAAAACCATTTTTGTATTTGAATAATGGAAGATAAAAATACATTCATGTCAACAACGTTGTAAAAAATATATATTTTTTTCTCTTTACTTAATCCAATTAATTATAGTCGTTTATTTACCTGGTCAGTTGGTATATCAACAAGACGATAATGCAATCAAGTAATGTAAACAGTCATGTGCATATTTGCTTGATACATACATTCATACATAAATAAATAAGTAGGTATGTAGACATAGAAATGGATCAAAAATGAATTTACTAGCTTTTATTAATAAAAGCGTAATAATACATTTTTACATACCACATACGTGTATGTATACATATACTCATGTGACATTCGTATGTATTTATAATACACTGGTGTTTAATAAATTACAATAAATATGTTTGTAGCAACCACAATATGATATCAGCTATCTGTCACTATGAACAATGTATGTAGTTACATACATATGTACATACTTGTTGCTGGTGTCCTACATTAATTGAATATTCCTAAAGGAACAACAATTGCCACAGTGATGTTGGTGATAACAGTAAAAAAGTATCGTAAACAAATAATTAACAATAAAAAGACATATTTTTAGTGCAAAAAAAAAAAAGGGAAAATAAATAGTAAAATTGATTAATTCTCCTACTCGTTTAACTACATATGAATGCCATAAAAATCTATAGGCCAACCACTCGACCGCCCATTCTGTAATTAATTCTCCAAACAATTATTTATTATGTATTTAGTCGAAGGGACCATAAAGCAGCCGCGAACATTCAAGCTACTCTCCAGGGTATACATATACATACATTCATATGTACATATGAATACTTCTCTTAATTACGTTTGGTCATATTGATTAACCGTCAGCAATTAGAGAGCATATGTCACATGATCCCACAATAATTAGTGCAGCGATATTAAATCGCAGAATCTTGGAGGCTAAAAGCGACGGCTTATAACTTTCCAAAGAAAAAACACGATTAAATAGTCACTAGCGGCTCAAAAAATTGTTAACGCCGTCTGTATCAAAAAACCCGGTTTCTTTTGGAGAAACCTAATTTGATATAATATAATCTGCTAGCATTCCTGGACTCCATACCCCTTCATAACGCTTTTCCTGCCAATGTCCTTATGGATCCTCTGACCTTGTCCGTCACTCACAGCACCCAAATTTTCCGGATGATTCCCCAGCATATGTATTTTTAATGAACAATTTACCCCTCAAGGGTTTATATGACGTTATTTTATTCTATTACCTCAGACCATTTAGCGCCTTCTAATGGTATTTAAGCAAGTGGGTCATAGACTAACACTTAAGGTCTTGAACAAATTCTAACGGAGGACCTACAATTAAACTATTGGAATTTCAAATTTTTTTGATCAATTTTTTTGTGTTAGAAAGTGCTGAAAAATATATAAAGAATACATCATTGAAAGTATTTATTGTCCCTTAGTAATTCTCTAGTAATTTTCGAATATCATCTCTGAGCCATCATTGAGCCTTTCGTCGATCTCTTCATTAGACCCAAACCGATGAGCTCCCCAAATCATTTTGCATCCGTCGAAATAGTCAGTGGTCGAAAGGAGCAAGATCTAAAGAATAGGGTGGGATACGACCTCCCATTTCAGCGTTTCCAATTAGTGTTTTCTTTCACTGTTACAGCCATATGAGGCCGAGCGTTGGCATGTTTCAAATTCCCTCTGCCCATGCCTTTCGGTCATTTCTGGCCGTTTTTTAAGCAAAAGCAAGGCTAAAGCCCATTAGTTGTAGGCGATACCACTAAGCGAAAGAGAGCTTAGCTTAAACTTAATATCAGCTCCAAAAACTATGCAAGGTAAACTCCGCAGTGTGTAGAGCCTTCAACTTCAGTTTGTAACGTGAAATCTTCCACGGTACTAGCTTTAGCCTTATTGAAAAGGATGCCCTTGGGTGTAAGAATCTAAGATAATAATCATAATAGGCATAACCAGCGCGCGCAAAGAGCCTGCTGCTGCGTGGCTTAGGTGCAGCCGCTTGCGATCAAGTCTTCAACCCCACGCTTTAAAATAATCAACTATTTTTTTTTTTTTTTTTTTTGAACTTTTTCTACTGTAAATGTTTTACTTAAAAGAAGGCGACTCAAACTTTTTCCATCCATCATTTACACTGCATTTCCATCACTTACACTGCAAGTAAAATTTCATCGCGTTGTCATCGCACACTCATTTTTAGTCACATCAATGTTGTAGTTAAATTCTCTGCTCACATTTCATTTTAGCATTCTTGCAATAGGCGTTTGAGTATGCGCATTTCGTTCTTACTTCTAGTCACGTTAGCAGCATTTTGTTTCAAGCATTTTTACTAGTTCTCGTTCAATTATCACATACTCGTAGCATAACGTCATTCATTCTAAATGCAAATATTATAATTATCATAAATACATACATACATACGTACATACTTAGAGGCATAAGATGTTCATTGAACTGTTTGTTCTAAGCACTCTTTTTGTTTTTTAGTATTCGAATTGTTGTTGATATGTATGTACATATGTCTTTAGTTGATCGTTTATTATTGTTGTTGATTGATGTTGCTGCTGCTGCCGCTGCCGCTGCTGCCATGCACCGCAACAAAAAAGCAAAATTCATTTAGTTTAGTTCTTTGTGTTCCTCTCACATTGAATATATAATGTATATCTGAGCATATGTATGTTTAATAAATACAATATTACATAAATAAAATATATATACTTGTATGTATGTATGTATGTTAATGTATATCTGAGCATATGTATGTTTAATAAATACAATATTACATAAATAAAATATATATACTTGTATGTATGTACATAAAAAAAATTTATATATGTATATGTATGCATGCATGTTACGTTTACCCATTTATTAATAAAGAACAAAAACAATTTTTTCGTATAAATATATTTTTTGTGCCACACACACATTTGGGAATGCAGCGCGTCCAACATTCTTGAATTTGAATTTAAATTTCAATCAACGCAATCCGCCGACCAAGCGTAGGTGTTAACCAATACATAATAATGGCTTTATCCACAAACAAACAAAAAAAAAAACAATTAAATATATTCATATCTATTTATATACATACACCAAAGAAACAAATATTTACTTTTTAAATTTAAAATGATTGAATTTCACACTTTCCAATTAACACTAATTTGTTAACACTTTTTATCCAAAAAAAAAAATTTAAAAATCAAAAAAAAAAAAAAAAAAAAACAGCTTCACCTGCTACCAGCAAGTTATTGGGCATGCGCATGACCACATTACACGAAGAACCGCTAGGCGTACATCGTGCACTCGCCGAAGAGCCCGAAGATAGCTACAGTGACTCGGAATATGGCACAGCCGAGTATGAGCAGGAGAAGAATCAGCAAAACAACTATCACACGCGCTCACGACTCACCGCCTCGAAGACCATGGACTCATTCATGGATGTCAGCAATCATTCCAATCAAAGCTACTTGAGTTACACATCCACCGCTAATGCGAATATGAAGCATTTAACGGGTTTGGCTACGCCCAGCATGAGTTCATCCACATCGAGCGGTTATGGTTCGCAGGTGTGTACTATATTTTAGAAAAATATGCTCTTCGAATCTATTGTTAATTATGCTTTTATCTCTTTTTGTGGCTTCCAGGCGGTTTCGTGCAGCAATTTGACAAATGATGATATCGCTTCTATGCGTTCAATGAGCATTGACGAGACACCAGGTTAGTTTGAACGCTGACGAATTGATGTGTGCAGTTTTTTCTAAGCGCCTCTCATGTATAAAGATACTCTTTTTTATTTTTAATTGTATATAGACTGGAACTATTTACGATTTCAGGTATAATTTTTACCTCCTTATGCCTTCGAAACTCAATTATACAATAGAAAATATTTGTAGCTAAAGTTAGGGTTATGCGATATCGAAATGCGATTTTACTGTCTACATCGGCTGTCAACCCGTTTGGCTCTTAACTATAAATCAACAGTGTGAGGCACGCTTAAACACTGTCGATCTGTTCACTTTTTTTTACAAAAAATATCAAAGCGCACAGAATGTATAGGAAAAGCTCAAAGTCGAAAATCGTTTAAGCGACTTTAAAACGCAGCTTGACAGCCTATAGGGTAAGCTCAGGAAATGGCAATAGCAAGCCTCAGGAAACGAGTTGTTTCAACGGTAATCTGATCAACCGGAACGGAGTGTTATATGAGTCGAATTTGGGAAACCTACAAAGAGACAAATTTTAATCGCGCTAGGATAACTTCATTCTCATGGTACAGTTTGAGCTCCTCGTCTACTTAAAATGGTGCTCGGATTCCGATAAGTCCATTCACTGAAACAGAATTGAAGAAGATTTTGACTGGCACTCTATGAATGATGTTGAAGGGCTGGCCATGGCACGTTGCTCAAATGAAGTTCTTATATTATGGTACTTCCTTTCCCGTGTACCTGTGTACGTTTCTACTTCGATCAGGTATCAGTATACAGTGTAGATTTTCCCAGTAACTTTGGCTTATCAGAATTTTTACATCGCCAACTTTGACACTTAATTTACTTTGTCCAACTGGTGGAAATGATCGCCATGATGTCTCACAGTAAAGAAATGAGAAATATTGAATAGATAGCCACATACTTTCTAACAGAGTATATCAATGTGCTGGGACAGCCGCTATTTGTTTAGAAAGTTTCCGTTTTCCGGCTGTCAATTACTCAGATAATTCATGGTCTACTTTTCCAACACAAACGATAGACATCAATGTCGTAGGCTTTTAATGAGTTAGAGTTAAATACTTGAGTCATTTAGTGCCATCATGGAGCTATGCGCTCTACCGGCACCAACATGATGTGATGTTCGACCCAGATGGCAAGGGAATGGCGGCAGCAGCATGCAGTATTCGCAATTAGGTAGAGGGCGCTAAGATCAGCACCTCACTTAGTTACGTCAAATCGTATTATTTTACGATGTGGCATTATTACCCATTTAGAAATAAAAACTACAGATGGGCATAGGGAAAAGCATTTATACAGATTCTCTGATACTCGAAAAATATTATATAACTTTAGTTGAAGACGAAGTAAACCCCAAATCCCAACTACTTGGTTCGAAAAGGTTTCGGTCCCTAAAAATTTATAAGTTTTACTTCAAAGACCTTATATTTGCTTGAACGGTTTAAAAAAGAACAATCACTCCTTTTCCTACAACTGGATTCACGCTGGTTTATTAGGTATTCTTTAGATCACTTGGAACTTGGTACTCAGGCAAGAGTACCCTGATTGAAAAGAAGATACGAAAGATTTTGATAGATCTTCACTTTGGTTTATGCTTTAGTCCTCAAAGAGGTGGTTTAAGAACTAAATACATGTAGGACTCTTTGGAATGAGAGTACGCACGAAGCAAACAAAATAACTTCAAAAAAAATCTCACCTTTTTTCTTTCCTTCTTTTTCCCCAGACTATCATTCAAATTCACCACCCAATCGGCAAGCGCGCTTCAATCCATTTTTAAAAGACATGCCAAAATCATCTAATGGTAATAAACAACAACAACAACTACAGCAATTACAAACAACGACAACAATACCACAGAAAGTATTGATCGAAGATGAAAACGAAGCAACGCAAGCACAGCCCAAATCAACACCGGAAAGCGTAACAAACACAGTTGAAACAAATGCATTTAATGACAATGACGCCAACAGCACAAAAGCTGTAAAGCTGCCAAACACAACAACACAACCGAAAGCACAATACAACGCTGCCAATAATGCTGAGGAAATCAACGAGACAGCGGCGGCGACGGCGGCTGATTATGTGGCCAATACCATAAACGATGATGATGTTGTTGAACTTAAAAACAACAACAATAATTGCCAGACAACAACAAATGTAGCAGGCACACCAGCAACAATGGGTGTAATGGCAGCAACAACAACAACGTCAGCGTCAGCACCAGCACCAGCCAAGTTAATTAACAATCACGCCAACAGTGAGAATAATAAGAATACAACAAATACGGCCACAAAGGTAATTAGTAACAACATTGCTACAGACAATCAAAATGGCAATGATACGACACAACACAACACCAACAACACGACTATATTATCGGAGGCTGAACAACAACCGTTAGAGGGTAATGGCATTGTACGCGGCCAACTGCCGGCTGGGAAGGTCGTACGCCGTAAAAAGACACCACCACAAGGTGGCAACACAATGTCCAGTAGTGTTATATCAACCAACAATAACAACAACAATGGTGGCAGCGCGTCGCGTACACAGTTGCAGCGTGCTTCGGTAGCTCAAATGGAAGGCATTATGACGTCATCGAATGATCGATTGAATGCATCGATGTCGAGCAGCATGGAACTGGATGCAGGTATGTTTGTATGAATAATAATAATAATACATATATTTATTTGTTAACGCCAAAAGACAGTTTCCGGTGTAAAAACTACTAAAATGTAAACGCGATTTTCTGTGATTGATTTTGGGTTAAGAATAGTCCGAACTCTATCTGGTTTTCGCCCACCGATCTATCGCATTTTACGTTTTTCCTTCTGGCTCGGTTGAGCCATGCATGCAGGACGCTGAATTCGTCGCAAAAAAGGTTTCATTTGGCTACTTTGTGGGCATTAATTCTGAACGCATGAGAGAGGAATCCGATATTTTACTCACGCTGGTCGTTAGTTCGCAAGGGCAACAACCATTGGTCATAGAACAAGCTCGGTGGTACTAATCACGCATATAATTTAGGAGTGGAATCGTGTCTCACATTCTTTAGAAAGAATATAATCTATTAAATGAACTCTATAGAGCATCTTATAAGGAAAGGTATTAAGGCGAGATGAGATCTTAACTGAAAGAACTCGGTAGTACGCTTGAGGCTAACGGTATGAGAATTCATCTATTATATTATAAACGCTTGCTTTCGTTATAAGAGGAGACTACCTGTCCCTTCTCGCAACGTTTTACAAACAAGTTTGGAAAATATTTTGCGGTTAAAAAATAGCAAAAATATAACTTTAAATTGGAGCTGTCTAATGATAGTAAAAGATAGTTGATAGCAAAAAGTAGCTGATGCAATCTCGTACCCTTCCTGCCTCTTCCATGGATCTTGGCAGTAAACTTCGGTGACATAGAGGAGGAGCGGGGTGTAGAATATGTGAACGATCTCGCAGTTATTGAAGTGATTTCATACAGGCTTAGTCCGCCAGAAACGGGACTAGAGGAATAACTGATGCTATGAATGTCCTCTTAAATCTACTGCCCATTGATATGGAGCATAATTCTTTTTGTGTTGTGACAATACTACTAAAGGTGTCTGAATGGAAAGTAACAAGCCCCGGCCATACTAATGTCTTCAGAATGTTCCGTGTAGCAGAGAATGCGTAGCTTTGCATAACCTTTCTTGACTTCCGACAGTTTTTACGTTAGCTATACCGGATAGAAGTTAATGTGATATGGGATGGGTCAAAGCTAGATAACATTGTCTACGCAAGGGAGCTGCGAACTTGCAAATCGTTTGGTTTACCGAGTTCGGTGGATTTTGCGACTCCACATGAGGTTGTACATTGTTTCAGCTCAATGGTACTTTCAGAAAATCGTTTCACATCGCTTATGATAGTCAGGCCGTATTCAGAGCGCTGAAATCTATAACATTAAAAATAAAATCGGATTGACAGTAGAATATTTGCGCAGATAACTTTATGTGATCTAACAATACAGTATCGGGTAATGAGATGCGATCTTTCATAGTTGCAATGTGGCTAGGACAATATGACCGGTAGGGCATAGAAGAAGGTCATGAGATCTTATAGCACCAAATTGAAAGGAGATTTCTTCAATTATGGCGCGGCCTTCCCACAGGTCATCTTCTATTACGGAGAGATTGAGAGTACCGTCAAACGATTTTCAGCAGAAGCTGTAGAGAGGATGAAAAACCTGAAACCTGAATGCACTTCCTTTGCGAATGTTCAGCAACTCTAGAGGCTGTAACTTTTAGAGACCTGAACGAGGTAGCAGGTGCAGAGATACGTCGATTGCTCGGTTGTGCAATCTACACAACAATTTGACCTAACCTAGATAGATTTATGTAATTAATCTATATTTCATACGTCCTCAAGAGGTTGCTTGAAAGTTCAATGGGCTTCCCATGAACAGCCGCGCTTGAGTAGGCTCATTTTACACAAGAAGTTAGAGTAAACTATTTGAGTTTAGGCTTCAAGAGTCCTTGGGAAATCAGTACTGTTACTCGATGTCAATTGTTGCTTCTACAAAATATACCCTTTATTAATGCTTTGCACCACTTCGAAGACAGAAAACTGCCTGGTGACCTCGAAAGTTGGCTGCTCGAGAGCTAGTAAGCCTCTGCCGTCTCTTCAAATATTTCCTGCCCTGACAGCTATACGTTTTTTTCAACCGTGGATCAACTTATCGCCAATGACTTCTCCTCAACAACAGGGTTGGCGGGTGCAGATAAATTTTTGGAAAAAAATACCTTTAGATAACAAACGCTCCCAATTGATTCACTGCTAATCATAGTTATTTTTCCAAATTTTTTCCCAGATATTGAAGCTTCCCTTCCCGACTGGGTGCAAGTAGGCGAATCAGTGCTCATACGTCCATACAATACAAGTGGTGTGATCAGCTATATTGGCAGTACACACTTTCAAGCTGGTACTTGGATTGGCGTTGAGTTGGACACACCGACCGGCAAGAATGACGGTACCGTACAGGGTATGCAATATTTCCAATGCAAACCCAAACATGGCATATTCGTACGTTACGACAAATTGATATTGGACAAACGCGGCAAAGCCATGCGCGCCTACAAAGCGGAAAAGAGCAACAGCAAAGGTAATGAATTATTATGAGAAATATCCAATGATTTTGAATAATATTATATTATATTTCATATTATTTGCCTCCACAGAATTAAGCATGACGCGCTCAAAGAGTCGTGGTGAGTCTTTGGCCAGCGTCGGTGGCGCAGCGTCGTCACGAAAATGATTATATCCAAAATGTTCGCATCAAATGCACCGCTGGGCTAATTGCAAGCAATCAACATTGGTGACAGCAACAGCAGCTACAGCCAATGCAGGCAGGTTAGCTAACGCAACAACTGTAGCAGCTACAAAAGCAGCAGCAACAACAACAAACGCAACAGCAACAACCAAATTAGCAGTAACACATGTTAGAAGCAGCATCGGCGCTGTTGCTGCACCAACGCGCACATGCACAAAATTGCGTGCAACCAGCACAGCAGCCGCAGCTGAGGTCGCGTCGGTGAGGGCTACGGCACAAGTCACCGGCGTCGATGCGAACACGAGACGTTTCAAGCGACGCTCAACAGCATTTTAAAGGCAACGCAGTAAATGCAGCAACAACAATAATACAACAACAACAAAAGAACAAACAAACAAACAAAGAAAAGTACTTAAGTTGTAGTGCAGCAGGAGCAGCAGCAGCAGCAGAGAGAGAAATGGCAGCGCTTGTTTGTGCGTTGGCTGCGTTGCTGAAAATGCCGCGCGCAGCGTATACGTGTTGAACGCTCCAGGATAAAGCTAGAAAATGAAAGAAAAGAAAATATAAATAAATTTATAATTAAACAAAACACAAAATCCCCAAACACATACATATATATACAGAAGGCATAAATGAATATGCATATATATGTACATATACGCAATAACAATTAACACCACAAACAAACGAATTACATACTTACATACACTTAAATAGATACATAAATGCATACATACCTAATGCGTGCAATGGTGTATGCACTTAAATTACATACATATTCAGTATTTAATATTGCAATACACACTTACAATTCACCACACATGTGTATTTGTAAATGTCAAAGCAAAAAATACGAACACATTGTACAGTCACAATATGTCCTTTATTGTATCCATATTTTATTTGTATTGTATATTACTCATATGTATGTTGTAGTGTTAACACATTCCCAAACTCCGCCCAACCCCATTCCATCCAAAAAGGAACACAAAATTAATAATCGCCAATTTCGTTAGAACGTCTTGTAGGTATGTTTAGTAGTAATGCCGTGGGCAGTAAAAAACAAAGACAAAAACAAAAGAATAAACAAACAAATAGTTGTGAGAAATGCTGCAATTAAAATGATATCATATTTTGTAGTTGTGTAGTGTATAGTTTAATACATACATACATACATTCATGCAAATTAGCAGCACGCTTCATTAAATGACTTTCGAGTGTGTATGTGTGTGTGTATTTAATTGAGCATTTCTGCCTTTTACGTCGTACATACCAACATTTGCTTCTGTAGATGATTAGAATCATGGGAATTACTTTAAAGTTTTTTATTTGTACAAAAATATTCTGAATATTTTCCTCACGCTTGGTAAATATTTTTTTTGAAACATTTGTTCATGTAGCCAACTTCGGTAAAAAGCAAAATTTAGCGATTTTTAAGGTCAATGTTTCTTTTATCTACAAAAGATTTTTTTGTACTATTTCACTTTAGACATATTTGCGAATCTAAATACGAGCAATCAATTTTTGAATGCAAGCAACCGGATATAAATGCAATGAAACCTTTAGCAAGCGAAAATGTGTATAAATTGTTTAGTAAAAATTTGGGATAGATTTATTTTCATTTGATTTTAGAGGTTAATTAGAAATAATTTAATGAAACGTTTTTACTGTATTTGTACTAAAAACTCCACAGTTGTTGTTTTTGTTATTGTTCTGGTTTCAACCTCAAAAATAAACCTCGCATTAGTTATTCCGGGTTTATTGCGGAGGAGACAGTAATTGGCTGGATAAAAATACCGTTCTTAAGACGCGACTGTCTCGCGAACTATTTCGGGGTGTTAATCGTTGAGAAAATTACGGGCTAACTTTACTTGCAATCAGAAATTAATTAAAAATATAAGTCATGAACAATGGATTTTACTACCAGTAATGATTGCAATATGGTATTTGGCTTAAAAATGGTTTAATTGTCGTTCATTCCTAATTTTATACGGCGTGGGTAAATCAAGCGTTCAAAAGGCTTTAACCATTATGTTATAACCACCGAAACTGTAGGTTGCGCTTAGGAGATATTTAAGTAATTATCGTTAAGACGACACTGTTAAGACGATATACAAACAAGTATTGTGTCAGCAAATGTAAAAGTAAAATGCAAATTTCACTTACATCGACTCTGGAAGCGGCAGCGGGCGCTTAAAAATGAGCGATTTATTTTTTCGCTAGCTACTCCGAATTCTGCTATCATCCAAAATGATAGCACGGCTGAACTCATTTCATTTTCAATTAAAAATCAGAAATGCGTTGAAGCCAGTAGAGAAATATAAAGTAAATTGTTTTTTTTTTTTTTTTTTTTTTTTTTGTTCCAAAAGTTTATTTGCAAATTCGAATCTGTTTCAAACACCCCTTCAAACAGATATTGATTTTTTCAATTTCGATAAATAAGCAATTCCGTTTCGATTTCTGTGACACCCATGATTGGCTTTCCAGTCGCCTCTTACGACAGGCATGCCTTACCGCGGGTAAATTCATCAACCTTCAACCTGCTGAGGTTGGTTGTAATTTTTTTAGTAACCGCAAAAATAGTTTTCCAAATTGGTTGTCAAGAAAAATGGTTGAAGTGACCATCTAGGGCCAGCTCAAAATTCAGAATTCGCAGGATTCTTCGTCGTTTAGGCTTGATAAATCAATGAAAATAATTTCTAAATAAAAATATTCAATTGGAACAATTCCACATCTACTAGAAAAGAAAATTTTGTTTCAACAACTAAAAAAAATGGAACAACTGACGCAGAAATGACAACTAACTTTAGAGCTGTTCGATCAGAAATGTCACTAAAAATTAGACAGTTAGAAAATTTCTTAATTGCGCTCGCTTGGTACAAATTTTACTCGTCTTTTGCCTCAGCATTTTCCGAAATATCAATTTTGCGCCGACAACTCCAGCCAAAATCGGGAGATTATTTGTATGGCGCATTCATAAAAAAACTACTTTATTTTACACATCAAACTGACACTTTCTTTCATCGTATACGTAAATATGCTCATATTTGAAACTCGATGGTAGTGAAAAATTAGTGTAAAACTTGAAAAAAAAACGTCCATTAGAAAGCACATATCCAGCAAAATGCAAAAACAAAGCAAAAACCACATTCCTAACTAACACCAATTTCAAATTTCTGCTCTAAAAACTTCCCCCAAAAGACTACTCAAATTGTTCATATTGAAAAAATAATAATAATTAATTTTTGTTAATGTATTTAAGCGTAAAGTGTATAGTATGTATTTGCAATTGCTTATATGTATATGTAGCTGAAATATTTAATACAGTTTTAAATAATTTCAAAAAATACAATGTTGCAGCCTTGGCTCATGCTCATGCTCATAAATCAATTCAATATTCATATTAATATAATTTTTGTGCATTTTCTTGGGCATAACTTTAAAGAATTTTCTTCTATGTACACATGTATGGTGTACGTACATACCTTGTAGTGTAGTTGTTGCTGTGCGCTTTCAGGTTACTTCTGTATATAAATTATATGAATTAAAAGTTTATGATAATTTTTAAATATTTGAAAAAGTTAAGTACATTTTGAAATAGTAAGTTAATTTTTATACATATATTTACGTAGTAATTAAAATTTATATATAAATTTTTTTTTATTATAATTCTGATTGTTATGTAAATGTACATATTATACCTATATATTATATATTTTTCTTTAAGTAAATGTAAAGAAAATTTATGTGATTTATTTAATGCAATATTGTAATTTAGCCCTTATGTATGTGTACACACACATGTCGAACGAACAACAAACAGCTAAAGTGTTGTTGTTTCTGTTGTAGCTGCAGTCGTACCCTCAAGTATTTATGTGAGCAGTTGTTTTTGATTTTCTTACCATTTTTTATGTATAGTTTTTTTATTATTATTTTTTTAATTTTTTACGACTATAATTTATTTTTATAAATATTTTATTTTTTTTTTTAATTTTTTACCTCTTTAAAATTTTTTTAAATTATTGAAATGGACGCTTAGTGTTGGTAGCGCTGCGGTTTATTTAAAAAGTTTTTTTTTTTAAATTTCGTAACTCTAAATTTACAATCTGTTTGACTGTAGTTTATTTAGTTCATTCATATAAAAGTTGCAATTTTATGCCTTAAATCGCAATTTTGTTTATTTTTTTTGTACATTTTTTTTTAGTTTTTTCCCACTTTAAAACTCATTGGAGTTTTTCTCGCAATTATCTATATGTAATGCCACAAAGTTAGCCAAGCGTTGTATATGCGCTTTAAATTCAATTTATTTAATAGCAATTTATATATATATATAATTAATAATAATTTTGAATAATATATATAATATAGATATAATTTTTTCCTATATTAAAAAAAAAACATTTTCAATTGTTTAATATATAAAAAAATGTATTTAATTTAATTATATGTTGACCCAACACTTTACATTAGCTTTTGCTCAATATTTTAATAAAAAAAAATAAATATGATAGCTTTTATTAGTAAAAAATTAATTTTAATTTATAGCTTCTAAAGAAATCTGCATTAATTTCTGCATTATATTTTATGTAGCTTGCTTAAAAAAAAAATTATATACAATATTAGCGCATTTCTAAATACATACCAACAAATATATATACAAGTATTTTAAACATTACACATATTCATATGTGTATATAAAATAATTTTCCTAAGCATATATAAATTAAAATTAAAAATTCTATACATTTTGTGCATAAATATGTACATACATAAGTATACTTCTATAACGAAATTGTGAACAAAGCAAAAAGCAAAAAAAAAAACATATAACATAATGAATAAGATAAAAATACCTTAAAAACGTACCAATCAATCAAACTTAAAACTAATTAATTTAATGTGATGTATTTCTTAATTTGCCTTTATTATTTTTTGCGAAATAAATAGTATGTGCAAAAATTAACCTTGATTTTTTAATTATTTTAGATTAATATTTTTTTGTTTTTATTTCAATGCTATTAATTTAATGAACTTAATTAATTTTTAATTTTAAAACCAACATTAAAAAGGAAAAACATTTTTTTTTTTCGTTTTAAATATTTCATTATTATTATCATATTAGTTTTATTAAGTAAATATGCCAAACTTTAGCATGACAGTTTTAAAATCGTTTAATTATTTCAAAATTAAAATATTTCCATTTTTAATTTCCAAACTTTAAATATATTAATTTTTATTCTCTTCATGAATTATTTGTTTGAAAACACATGAAATATAAAACATTTTGCTCAACAATTTGCCTCTCAAGTGTATACTCACTTGTGCTACCTTTGTGGCATGAATGTAACAAAGAACACCGATTAAATAAAGAATTTCTTCTAAAATTTATCCGTCCAAATTTTGAGATTGATTTTCGTACATTGCAATTCATATACTCGGCAAAAAAAGTTAATATTTTGATAAATTTTACTACATATGTATGGTAAATTCAATCAATTTTAAGCTGCCGAAATACTAAGTGTTTTCCAAAAGCTTCCAAAAATAATGTGTTAATTTTATTTTTATTTATTTCAGTTTTTCTTTTCAATAAATAATAAATTCAGCAGTGGAATATAAAGAAAAAATATTTTATACTAAATATATCTTGGCAACGCATGCAACATTGGCAAAGAGTTTGCTAATTTAGTAGCCGAGCGTTTAGCTGTTAATTAAGACTGCAAATCCCGATAGCATTAACAGTCACAATTATAGAGAAAAACAATTTTCTTATACTGATCGTTCTCGGCAATGGATATCAACACCTTTTGAACTATGTAGTTGCAGCGTTAATCTGAAGGACGAGTAGTTGCTCGGCATGCAGCTTTGCTTAGTAAACTCGAAAAAGTATAAAAGCTTCAAAACAAAGACTTTGAAAGCGGTTTAGCGGCGGTACAATTTCATCTACATATAGCAAAATCTCAAAGCACATGCA